TGGAGCGGCAGCAGCCGGCCTGCACACTCGGGTAAATGTTTTTGTGAACTCGGCACAGGTCAGAGGGCAGTCCCTGGCTGGGCAGGCACACAGATGATTAGTTACTTTGCACGTCTCCCCCAGGGCGTCTGCAAAGTTTGGTTTCTTTTCTACCCCACCTTTGAACTTAAAAAACAAACAGTGAAAGAACAGATTAAATTAAGGAGCACGATTCTATAAATACTCCTATTAGACAGCTTGTTATTTTAACAAAGTTCTCTTTAAACGACACAAGTTTGACCTATACGCTTGCATAACATCATGGTGGCCGGGAACTCAATCCGACTGACCAGGGCTCTCGCCACCCCGCGCGAAGCCGTGCCTGCCGAGCTCTGCCAGGGGCCTGTGCCACGCCACCCACTGCAGGGTTATTCTGGGAACAGCCCAAAACTGCCAGAAGAACGTTTTTCCCATCCGTTGGGAGCATGCTCCATGGAGGCTGTTCTCAACTGCAGGGCCACATCCAGCCCCCAGCACGCCCCGGCAGCGAAGGGAAGCCGGATGCGAGCCCTGGGGCAGGAAGAAGCTTCTAAACACTGCAGGGCCGCTCGCAGAGAGCCGGCGGGGAGAGGATGTGCCTCCACCAGAGAAAGTCCCACACATCCTGCCGGCACCAGACCGAGCAGAGCGTGGCAGAGCTGGGCAGCATGGCTGCAGGACAAGACACGGAGAACGGGCTCTTGGCATGCAGCCGCCACGCTGTGGGCTTTATCCCGAATGCCTCCCATCCCCTTGAACCAGCCGGTCATGAGGCAGGAGGTACGGGGGTCCCAGGGATCTCGATGCCCAGCTGCAGGAGGGGCCTTCAGGGACTCTGCCAGCCTCCTCTGCCCTCAGCCAAGGTCCTGCTTTGTCTTCCTTGCCTCCTCCTGCCTGGGGTTTAAGGGACCACTTGCTCTGCGCGGCATCAACCCAGCCCTGGCCCAGCACGGCCAGACCCAGCCTGGCCCCAAGGGGCACCTCTGCATGGCACGGGGCACAGACCCCATCCCAATCCCTCATCAGCGCTTCAAATCGGCAGAGATGGCTCTGCGAGGTGGCGAAGCCGAGGGCAGCTCATCACCCCAGCGCAGGGTGTCCTGCAGCCCATGCCCGCAGTCACACTCAACTCCCCTTCGCCCAGCACCCCAGACTGTCTGTTTATGTCCTTATTGCTACCACTCACTCATTTTCTTGCTAGCTCATCTCCGCTTTTATTAGTTTATCCCAGGCATACTTTTCTGCTGGCTTCGCTGTCCGTTTCAAGTATTCCACCGAGGTGACTGACCGCCCACCCTGCTGGGCTTCAGCTGGGACACACACAGAGCAAAGGAACACATTTTCAGAAACGAATGTATTATTGTGAGTCTGCAGAGCGTTTTTCCCCTCTCGGTGTTCCTTTTGAACAAGTTAGGCAAGTTCAAGAACTGGTGGGTACATGATCAGATCAGGCCTGATGACGTATTTGCTACAGAAGCACCACACTGCCAGCAAAGCAGGTCAAGTTCTGGAGTTAAATAGCAAGGGACTTGGAGAGAGAATGGTCGTATTGTTTCTTCCTTCAGCTACAAGCCCTGCACTTTGACACTGACTTGCTCTTCCCACAGGCAGAAGAGTATGAGCTAAGGCAAAACTGGAAAAAAAATTATCAACCACTTCACTGAGTTCCTGCACCCTGCGGGAAATAATCCCATCAAACCAAAGCAGACGCGCTGCTAAAACCCTTGCTCGCGTGCTCGGGTTATCGCCCCATCATTTTGGAAAGGCGGCAGGTACTGCTGGCACAACGCACGCCCAGTCCTCCCACCATGTCCGCGAACAGGACACAGCCCCAGCCAATCTTCTATTTCTGTTCATGGAATAGGACATAGTTTCAATCAGAAAAACAGGAGACCGTGGCGGGACGCAGGGTCGGGGCCCTGGAGGCCTCCATCACAAGCAGGCAGAGCTGCAGTTTCACGTTTCGCCCCAAACGAAGGTATGTCTGGAATCACCCCTGCACCCAGGCTCCCATCTTCGCGACAGCTGCCTCGTACCAGCTGCAAAATTTCTACAGTTTGTGACTGAACTGGATGGAAACAGGAACTTCAGTCACAGAATGAGCAAAATTGAATCTTGTGTTGCTTCACAGCAGTTCTAACTACGGACGCTCATTTGAGCAGTGTGTCCTATTTCAAACCAAAATAGGTTTCCCGTGCACAGATGACCTTGCATCAGGGCATCAAAATCTCAATGACATTCAGTTATTTCTATCTTGGCACGTGTGTGAACAAGTCCCTGGGGGCTACAGGAACCCCTGAACCCAGGACTCACTTTGTCAGAGCAGCACGCACCAGGAGACCGAGATGTTATGTGGTTTCTTTCACACCTCGAGAAGCTCAAACCAGGCCTTCGTCCCAGTTTGCTGAGACAGTCCAGCAGGAAAGGCTATCTCAGCTAAAAATGAAACGGATGGCACCGCCAGGCTGCCACACGAAGGGCCGGCTCCGCTAAGGAATACGCCAACATGTTCTCACTCCGTTAAAATGAAACACAAGATGGAGAAACCCAAGTTTCAGCCGGAGCAGCTGAACACCTGCCGAAGCCCAGCCCGGCTCTCTTCAGCTGAAGGACTCTGCTCGCGCTACCGTGACCCAGCTGCGAGCACCCCAGCGCAGAGAAAGCGCAGAAAATACCCGAGCTTGGCGG